TTAACCAATAAAATCATCCTTCGTTAGGAAATATTTTACGTAGGTGTATTATTGTCTGTCTAGCACCTGCTCCTCCAAGATGCTTTGTTTTTGTTGAGACTTTGCGTGGCCTACGTGCATGTTTACCCAACCCTTGTGGTTTATTCTTGGCTTGTATGCCGGTCACTTAACTAATACTCTGTGTCGTTTGTTGGATGACTTGTTGGTTTGGCTTTATTTATAAAGTCGGATGCTATGTCTTTTCTCTAAAAAAAAGATAGTCAGGGAATCAAGATTGTCATTTTCTTACCTATCCAAATAAATTTCCTGCTGATGAAATGACCTACGTAGAAAATTTTCTTTTCTAAGGATTAAAACTCATCAAAATCTTATACAAGTTCTTTTAATCGGAAAACACTAAAAGATTATAGAAGGATTGCGTAGATGCGTATGCATCCCCGGTTCTATATTAAGTGTCTCTGATTTTAGTACAACAGCGATCACACGCTTGGATGATAAGTACGTATTTCGCCATGCGATTTTCTGGTTGAAGAAATTGAGAAGACACCAAATGCCAATCAAAACCGATTCCTCGCGCGAAAAAGAAGAAGATCAAATCGGTTCCGGCTGCAGTAACTTGGCGCATTCTCCTTGTCCAGTAAAATAAAAAGAAGACCTTGCACAAGAGATGGTCTCAGTTACCAACTGGATTTCAAAGAAGACACCACTCGGCCAAGACAAGAACCAGCGTTTCCTCAAAAAACTTGCACTAACCAGTGCGGTGTAATGTTGTAGTAGTACAAAATTGTCCGACCGCGACCTTGTCCGCAGGCGTTTCAATGAACCACACGCAAGGCATCAGTGGTCACCAGCTCACTGCCATACTGAAACCGGAAATCTCTTGTACTAACGCGCATGTTCGATTAGATTAGATTAGATTAGGCAGAACATTATCACGTACGTGCCCATCGATGCGTCCAAGACATTTTGTCGCCGTCCACCTCTGCTCTTAGGATACGTCTGTCCGTGGGAGACTGCTAAAATGTGCACTGATCTGAAAGTGGCCGTTCCTGAGCTGTTCGTCAGTTACGCGTCCACTTCATGCGTTCGCTTGTGACATGCAGAGGTTGCATGCCTGTGCGGTGGTGCCAAAGGTGGTAACCCGGGACGCCCTGCCCTCGCCAAGAAGAGCAGGATGAATGGACGTCTCGCCCACCCCGTCCCACTTATAACAAGTAAAAGGGCATCCAACTTGAACACTCGGGGTGGCTTATAACCCTGTAGAATAGCAAGTACGGAGTAGTAACAAAGCTAGTGCAGTGCATCGCTGCCATCTGCCATTGATCGAGGATCCGACGCGCACTGATCGATCAGTCCGCGAAACTGAGTGGATGAACAGTGCGGCCTCGCTGGGCTATAAATTCAGGCCCCCGCTGCACACCCCTACACATCAGCCAGATCCCCACCCCCTACCAGTAGTGCTCTCCCGGTGTGACTTGCGAGCTCGATCGCGCAATGGCGGCTCGCGCTGGGAAGGCCCTCGCCTTGGCCATGCTGATCTCCTTCCTCGTGGTCCAGGGGACAACGGGGAAACTGACGGAAAACTGCTACTGCGTGTTCTACAATTGGTGCTTTAACTTTGGCCCTAAGCCACGCGACCACGTCATCTGCATGGAGAAAAGCCTCAAGCATTGTTTCAAGGGGTGCCCGCGTACTGCTACTACTCCTTACGTGACGCCACTGGCCGATCTTGTCAACCCCGGTGTGTTATCTTTTCCCGCAAGGTCAGGTGTCTGAGCATGTACGTATGGTTCGTGTGTTTTCTGTAAATTTGTTTGTCTGACCTGTCGCCTTTCCTGTGGTTTGCTGCTGAATGCTTACAGTTACAGACGAGGGCAGCATGGCCGTTCCTGCCGGGGGTGCCGATCACGGCGAGTTCCACGTCACTGAGGGCAGCGTGGCTGCTCCTGCCGGGGGTGCCGATCACGGCAAGTTCAACGTCGCTGAAGAGGATGCAGCTCCGTGAGGGCTGCGAGAGGCTGGCTGGAGACTTGGAGGACAGACACAGTTTGGCCGCGGTATAGGCCGAGAAATTCTTTAGAATAAAAGCCTTCTTGTAGTGAAAGTCTGTCATGCACTGTACAAGATCTCTGGCTCTGGCAATAAATAAACAGAATTACGTACTAGTATATGCTTTTCATTTTGTTATACAATCCGGATGTTCAGAATATGATGAACTGATGATGCATATGCTGCTTGGACAAAACTCAAGAGGTTTTATACTACTCTGAATTTGTTTGCTCGTGTTTTCCTTGTATATATGTGCTGATATCTGGTCGAGCTGCATGTCGTTCGTTCTCATATTTCGGTAGGGATGTTGGGTAAGGTATAAACAAAACCAGGAAATTACCAACGCGCACTAGTTCAGTTAATACTACAGCTTCGTTTGCAGTCTCGTCCAAAAGAAATTTTTGGTGGAAGATCACACGGGGAGACGTTTGTTTTTATGATGAGTTATGGTCTTTGCTTTTAGGTTGTTCTTTTTTCTTTTCTGTTTCGAGGCAATCTGTTGGATTAGTTCTCTAACTACTATTTCGAAGTTTAAAAGATATTTCGAAGAACGTTGATGCAGTAAATGATAAACCCATCTATATGGCTTCTTCCATCACTTGCAGAGGAAGTACAAATTATTCATCTAGCAATCCAACCCTCTCCTCTCTTACGAATTTTACAACGTCAAGTTGATACAAGCAAATCTCTTTTAAATATGCGATCCCCTTTTGTTTTTGTTTTCTTATTTTTCAATTCCCCCTTTTCCCTTTTGTTTCTTTTTTTTACAACCTTCTGGTTCTTTTTTCTTCATAGTGTTTGCAAAAATGTTTTCCTTGTTTAAAGAATGTTTAACATGTTTTCTTTTTTGTTGACTGCTTTTTTTTCTTTCCCCAATTTCCCTATTGGTTTTTCTTTACATTTTTTGTATTTATTTTTTCTGTTTTGTTTTTATATTATTATTTTTTATTCTTTTTCATATGAACATCTTTTAGATAATTGATTTAAAAAACACATGAACATTTTTAGCACATAATACATTATTTTATTTTCCTTCCATTCTTTTATGCTTTACTTCACATTTTTTCGTTTTTGGTTTATTTTATCAAACACTTACCTAATATTTTCATGTGTACATTAAAAATGAATATAAAAATACTTGTTGAACATTTTTTAAGATACATGTGAGCTTTTTTTGAAAAGAAGAAATGCATGTTGAATATTTTTGTAATATATGATGAAATTTTTAAATACACATGGTTATTTGTTAGCTACACGGTAAACCTTTTTAAAATAGCTGAACACCATTTTTAAAACACACTATGATCATTTTCTAAATACACGATTGAATTTTTTGTTTACCGTGATGAATTTTTCCAAATGCATGATAACCATTTGTTCAAATGAACATTTTTTTAGTATTACACAATGAACATGGTATATATAAGCAAGTGATCTCATTTAAATGCACATGCAACAAATCTATTTATCATTTTTCACCACAAGCATACCCTCAACATCACCAAGCGAGCATGAAACCATTTCACATTCCACTTTACACTACATGCAAGTCATCTACATTATGATTTTTATGTTTTATTGTTTCAGCAATAAATAATTGTATTTGAATGTCACAAGGCAATATAACATGCATCCACCCTCCATTTACCTATAGGTTTTCTACCATCACATGATGAGAATGTGGTGCGGTATTATTCTTTTATTTCTTATTTTATTTTTGATAATTTAATTACTATAAATTTTAGTAACAACTTGTGGTGCTTTATCTAGTTTTTGGAACATAAGATGAACATTTTTTAAGCACACGATGAAAATATTTGTTTACTGTCACAATTTTTTTTTGAAATACACGATAATTTTTTTAATACATGATGAACATTTTTACACAAAATATGAATATTTTTTAAATTAAAAATAAATATGTTTAACATTGGATGAACATTTTTTTCAAATATACATATTTTTTATAAAATCAATAAAATAAAAGTATTTTGCCCAATATTTTATTGAGTGACTTTTAAGAAATGGGAAAAATGAGAACGAACATTTCAAACAAATCAAAAGAGAGAGAAAATAAGCACGCGTGCATGTGATCATCCATGTGGCCAGCATGTTGCACCGTTGTTACACCAAGGCATAAGTTCTTTACACTTATGACATTCCATGTTTTAATCGTCGTACAGGCTTTGTCATGCAAGCTTTTTGGTTGAACAAACTCAGAAAACACCAAACGTCAATCAAAATCGATTCCTCCCGCGAAAAAGAAGAAGATCAAATCAATTCCGGCTGCAATAACTTGGCACATTCTCCTTTTCCAGTAAAAAAAAAGAGAGAAGACCTTGCACAAGAGATGGTTTCAATTACCAACTGGATTTCCAAGAAGGCGCCGCTCAGCAAAGACAAGAACGAGATTGCATCTACCAGTACGGTGTAATGTTGGAGTGGTACCAAATTGGGCGATAGCGACCTTGTCCGCAGGGGTTTAACGCCGTCGCTCAGCTCATTTCAGTGAACCACACGCAAGGCATCAGTGATCATGCCATACTGAAACCGGAAATCCCTTCTAACGCGCAGGTTAGATTATAAGTAGTATGAAGCAGAACATTGTCACGTACGTACCCATCGATGCGGCCAAGACATTTTGTCCGTCAACCTGCTCTTAGGATGCGTCTGTCGTCTCTGGAATACTGCTAAAATGTGCACTGATCTAAAACTGATCGTTCCTGAGCTGATCTTCAGTTACGCGTCTACTTCATGCGTTGGCTTGTGACGTTCAGACGTTGCAAATATGCCAAGAAGAGCAGGATGAATGGACGTCTCGCCTACTCTGTCCCGCTTATATAACGAGTAAAAGGGCGTGCAACTTGAGCACTTGGGGCTGGGCTAATAACCCTGTAGAATAGCAAGCGGTAAGACCTTGTACAATGGGAGGTGTTTAGAGAGATGCTTACAAAAATAAACCGGATTTTTATGAAGCACCGATGCCTATTTCTACAAAAGAGAGGATTTTCTTAAGCACTGGTGCTTATTTGTAGAAATAGGCACCGGTGCTTCACAAAAATTCGGTTTATTTTTCTAAGCATCTCTTTAAGCACCTTCCACTGCACAAGGCCTAACAAAACTAGCGCGGTGCATCGCTGCCATCTGCCATCGAACGAGTTAAAGGATCGAAGATCTTCGCTTAGATCACCACTACCTCTGTGACTTGCGAGCTCGATCATCCTTCGGCTAGCTCACTTGGGCATCTCTTCTCTGCAATTTCATTTAATCGCTTATTTCACTCATCATCTTTCGGCTGAGAATGTATAGTACTAATAACTAAAATAAATAAAGTACCATCCTTCCTTCATACTTCTTTTTTTCTTCATACCCCTTCATTCACTAGTGATCTAAATGCTCTTATATTTCTTTATGGAGGGAGTACTGATCAACTTGCGGTCCTGAATGCCCTGCCACCGAGAACGTTTGCCTGTCGCTTTAGGCTGGAGATACGCTTGGACACAGAAGAGATCCAAATATAGCTGACCAGAAAATAACAACAGCAGCATAACACCATCGATGGCTCGCCGGCACTGGGCACTGGCAGTCTTCCTCTGACCATATATATTTTCTTTCCTTTTAGGACTAGTTCACTTGTTGACGTTGTTACGGTCTTGCAGTAAAACATGAACCCATATGGTACTCCCATTGTATCAAAATATAAGACATTTTTTGACATTATCATAAGTACTACTTAGATGCACGACTTTATTCATCTAGCAACGGAACAGTCTTTCCTTACGAATTCTACAACGTAAACCCGATACAAGCAAATCTGTGAGGTTCGCGGTAACCTCCGAGAAACTAAATTGGTCTATACACAAGAAGAGAGCACTTCTTTCGCCCGCCTCGCTATCTTCTCCCCCGAGGCCCAAGCCCTTACAAGGACCCCCGAATCCTTTCCTGATACAGTTTTCGGCACATCCAGAGTCCATCCATCCATGCAGGCACCCAAGTCTTTGCTCGCAGCTCTGAATCTTCTCTTCTACTTATGCATCTTCTTCTTCTTCTTCTTCTTCCTGCGCTTGTGCCACACCACAATATCTACATCCACACTTTCTAAACGCTGCTATACTTCGCTGCACCCCTCCTTGCCTCTGAACCTCCGCAGCCCGTACCGGCACGACGCGATGGCGTCCGTGATAGTCAGGAACACGCTCTCCTCCCCGATGGTGTCCTTGATGTACCCCGACACCACCAGCTTCTCCGTCACCTGCAGCCTGGGATTCGCCAGAGCTATCTGAAGATCGCCAAGAGCACGACATCAGCAAAATTCTGAAACTAGACATTCAGAGTTGCTACTTAGCAGTAACTTGTTTTGTAGTGTTGGGGTTTTGTTTAATTACAGTGATGCCCTTCCGGTCCAGGCCCTTGTGAACCTCTCCTAGCATCCCGATCCCGGTGTTGTCGATTGAAGTCACGCCTGCGGTGTTCAGACATGTCAAGTGCATGATCAACGACGCCCGAAGAAATATAGATGAAATGGGAGGGTTAAATGTTAATTACCACCAAGATCAAGAACCAGGCATTCCAAGTCCTGCCCGTGTCCCTTGCAAATGTGCTCCTCGTCTTCAACCCATCTCAAAATCCTACAAGGCACCGTGGTAGTAAGTATAACATCTCAATTACGTGATATGATCATAAACCTAAAGGCGTTGTCGTGCTCTGCTCACCTCTCTCGCAAGTAGCCCGCGTTGACGAAATATATAGGAGAGCCCAGCTGCAAGACGAGGATGTTGGGGACGCTCTTGGCATGCGGGTACTGCTTTACGTCGCGGAAGACCTCGGTCCCCGTTATGTTTCCGAGCTTGACGGTTGCCGGCCGAGCCACGTACAGCAATGCCCTGAGTACAGACAAGCCGACCTGCGAATGCGACGTTTGCACATCAATCGATCGACGTTGTACGGGGAAACATG